GATGAAATGAAGAGATATTTTGAAGAAAATAAGTCATCGTAATAGCTAGTGCTGATTTACTATCATTTTGTTTTGAAGCCCCACCAAACTATTGCTCTTCTGTCTCCATTGGTTTTATCATGATGTATCTTGCTGGATTTTATTATATGTGATAGTATAAATAAAAATTGTAATAGGCAAAGAGATAATATAGAAACCATTGTTCATTTTCTGTTAGCTGATTCTAAATACCCTACAATGCTTTCATCCACTTGAATGGTTTTACACTGACTTGATATGTTTGAAGCTATAATATATGAAGTTATATTCAAATATTTCAAGGAAAAAGACACTATGGTAACTACCATTAAGTCGGGTTATTTGGTGGTGAAGCACTAGGTTGCTGAAACTGTCATGCTTTGACCTGTATTGTTATGTTGTTATGTCCTCTTTTATCTCAATATCTCCCTTATTCATTAAAAAATTATTTAGTTATTTTTTATGCTTTTTTAATTAAGGGGAGAAATAAAAAAATAGCAGGATATATTATAGTAACTTTTTGATTTCCTATTAACTTGATTTGAAGTCCTGTAATACTCCCACTATCATGTTTTGACTGATTAGACTCTGTTCCATTCTGTATGATAGTATCAAGTTTGAGGGTATAGGTAACTACTTTGAAGGCAATAAGATTCACTATGATGCCCATTCTGGTTTAACTATTATCTTCTTTGGAAGTCCTGTAATGTTTACAAGGTTTAGGTTTTATTGGTCTTGTTCTCTACTGTTTTGTTCAACTTTATAATACCTAATGAGATAGACAATTCTTTTTAAGGAAGCAAGAGGCATCATGGTAACCATTGTTGATAACCTTGTACTCTGCTTTTACATCATGTGCTATGTCTATCCTTCGTTTTGACTTACAGCTTTGTTTTGCCATATTTGACTTTATTCTCTTCGAAAAAAAATAATAAGAACTAAGGAGTAATAAAACCCAAAATGGGTAAATTTTGTTGTAAAAAAAAGAGAGGAAAAAAAAGTGCTCTAAAGGATACAACTGCAAGTGTGTTTAGGGGTGTTAAATAGATGACCATATTAATGTTTTTGGTTGGACCATTGAACACAACTGTTTGCATTCACTGTTTGAATGTCCACTTTGTATGCTTTGATACTGTGACTTGAGCAACTATCTCTAAGATGATAATGTGTAATTAATTAACTGGTGATTTCTTACTGTTTTTTTTTTTTTGTAGTTCTGTATTACTTGTACCCTTACACCACTTTGTTTTGTTTTGTTTTTTCTCTTTTTCCTTTTAAATAAAATTTAAAAAAAAAAGAAAAGTTAACAACGTTAATTTTGGAAATAAGCCAAAAATCAAATTGGATACATCATAAAAGAAATATAATGTGTGTTTATATTAGAATAAAAAGAATGAATATTCAGAATTAAATTAGCAGTATCATTTGTAAAATGGATGTACATTATTACAAAATAAGCCCATGTGTTCATCATAAGGTTGAAATGAGTCAATGTATTTTAAATATTTAAAGCATGGCTTGCCAGACAATAAGAAATCAACAAATATAATGTTAAAATGTGAATGAGATCTTTAGAAGTCTCTTTCATGAATTTTATGTAACTCACTACCAGAAATTTTAGTAGTAATTTATACTACCTACTATCAGTATTTGTGTGTATTTGTATATATTTATATATTTGTGTATACATTCATTTATATGTAACTTTTACAGAAAAAGATAACTGGGAATCTAGAGTTAAATTTCATTACCTTTAATAAATGTGATGTTGTTAGTTATACGGATGACCTGATTTTTAAAATATAGATGTACTTTTAATACATAAATTAGTAATTTTCTCAAAGAATATTATTAGTAAAGGCCTCCCTATGTTAAATTTATCACTGTACATTAAATGTTAAAAATCACATCATTCCAAGCAAAATGTCTTATACCAAGAGACCAAAGATTCTGTAAATGTATAGATTTTAAAAGTCACATTATTATGAAAAGCGCAATTATGAAAGAGAAAAGATCTTTCAAGCAAGTCTCATATTTGGAAAGGACAACAAAACTGAGTTGGCTGATATTTCAGAAACTCACTTTGCACAATGTGGTCGTCCTTTCATATTTTAGAAGGTGAGGACAGCATTAGAAGTAGAAAAAAAATTATATAAATACTACATAATATATGACAAAGTTAATGTATAAAAGGTAAAGTAATCCTTGTCTAATTATTGTATACTGAAAAACATCAAATTAGACTGAGAATATATTAATAAATTTTACTAATAATTATTGTTGTGTAATCATTTTAATAATTTATAAATTTTGTTTTGATTTTAAGATGTAAAGCATTTAATACTCCATTAATTAGACATTAATATTTAGCAAATGGATAGCAAGTCATGGCTAAATATTTTAATAATAGTCTAAATTTACAAAATATGATTAAGTTTTGAAGTATTAATTTTGTCATAAATATTTAGATTTTTAGCAAATACTGATGGATTAAAAACAATGGTTTCAAATTTAAAACATATAAAATCAATAATGTTTTTCATAAGAGCATTAATATTGTATTAGGACTTAACAGTGAGTTTATTCTGTATCTGTCCATGAGCATGGCATAGGAAAATTACGCTATAAAGGAAACTTGCCTCCAAGATTTTAAATTTAAATTTCACTTAACCTTTTTCTCTTTTCACTTCTTTTCAGACTCCCCTTTTCATTTTCCCTTAAAGTTACTGTAACACATCATCCTTTAAATATGCAAACTTCTTGGATTTCCTGAATCTTCTTACACCCATACTGCCACTCAGCTAGTGGAACACAGAAAGATCAATAAATTTTCATCTTTTAGCTCTAACACTTACTTGCAATTTTCTCAAAGATCATCTGTGAAAAAAATAGAGCTAACCCTAAAAGACTTATTTTTTAATAGTTGAAATGCAAACTTAATGGCAGTGAGATAGGGAAGCCATTTCAAGGCAACAGGGCCTTGTGTTATCTGTGTGTGTAACAGACTACTTCAGCCAGGTACATTTCCATATAGCTAAGCTATAGCATGAGTAAGGTGGAGTGGGAGGAGAGGGACAGGACCATAAGATGGAACTCACATATTTCTATGTTCCTTCTCATAATGTTTATGTTAAAAATAAATGCTTCTCTAAAGCAAGTTGAGCGCAGCTTCATGTTGAACAGATGACATCCTATTTGCCATGCTTTTCACTGTACTGTAATTACAATGGTGCCCAGGCACTCACTTTAGGTGCACATGAGTGTTTTTTGTTATCACTGTTATTGTGGACAACTTGGGGAAACACAGTCATATTGGCAAGGAGGATCTTCAAAACAAAAGGTATTTTGCTCTAAAGCAGTTATAAAAACATGATATAAAAGTTATTGATACAAAGATCAAAATGTTATAAACAAGTAGCATATACCATGTTCTCTACACTTCCTCTATCTTGAAAATATTGCTATACTGGGTAGAGGGGTGATTAGAATAGTTGCTTTGTTTAGTGGGTTACTTTATCAACTTGTGCACTAAAAAGTATCAGACTCTGTGATATACCACATTCTGTACTGCTATCTAAAATAGAAGGGATTTATTCAGGCTGCTATCTTTGCAAATGTACCTCGTTGAAGTGCTTAGCCAAATTTATTTTAAAAATAATATTCAGATTTGTCTAGGACATAGATCAGTATACTACAATTGGATCCATTTTGAAACTAATATTCTTCTTCACATTTTCTAGATTCTAGATGAGTTAGAATTGATATTTAAGGGAGGTTCTATAGAGAACATTCAGTCATTACATTCTTCAGGATGCATTTTCAAATGTTATTAGGACAATTTAATAATTTCTTTACACAGTATAGTTATACATACTTTTAAAAAGCCTGCCTTTTACTTTTAGAAATTGTGAAAACAAAAAACAAATAAATTAAAGTGGAGTTACTGTGGAGTTGCTACAGAATAAAATTAAAACTGTTCAAATGGCCTCCTATCTTACACACTGTTTAAGACTTCTTCCTCAGTGAAATAATTTAAGAATATTAACATGCTTGCATCAACTTGAATCACCATTTGTACAAGTCCCATCAGGCAGCTTGTACTACGAGTGGTACAGAAAATTTTAATTTTAGCAGGCTTCTTACTAGTAAAATTAATTTTTAAAAAAGCTACCTAATAAGAATTATGCATGTACCATCAGTGATTCAAACTAACCAGCAACAAGACGTATGAATTATGGCCTATTTTGAACATGTTAAATCAATTATTCTATATAATGAGTTAGATGATCTACTGTAGAAAATGTTTATATTCAAATACATATAAAGTCATGCATCAGTTAGCAACAGAAATCTTCCAAGCAATGCATCATTTGGCAATTTGGTCATAGTGCAAACATCAGAGAATATTTATATGAATTAAGCTATGACACCATGAAAAAATGCAAGCTTATATGAACCACTGTTATTATCTAAGTGATCAACCAATCACATGAACATTATATGGCATATGAATATACATATACATATGTATATATTATGTGTGGTATCTTTTCATCAATACAATAAGAAGAATATCTGTGAGCTATAGGAAGAAACTGAAATACTAGCACTTCTGAGGCATTTCTTTGGTTGCCTAAGCACGTGTATATTTTATGTTCTGAAGGATCTATATAAAAAGTGAGTATAACAGAAGAATAAAAAGGAAGAGATTTTTCAAAAGCACAGGGAAACTGTTTGAATTCTAAAACTTACCTGCTTTTATGAATAGGATTTTAACCTCCCATACTATACACCAGGTTTATAATGTAGACAGCAATATTTCAGAGAATCTCAAAATATCTCAGGCGAAATACATTGGTTTTGTAATTCTAATTTTTATCATGGTTTTAGCACTATTTTTAAATTTGAAATTTTAAGTTTTTATTTAACTGCATTTAAAACTACATCTATGCATATATATGGAAATCACATAATTTACTCACAGGCAAACTGAAGTGTGGCTTCTCTACTAAGAATACTCCCAAAACTGTTGGTGGCCAAACACTGATATTGACCAGAATCTTTTGCTTCACTTGGGTTATTTATAATGAAGGTGCCATCTATCAAACTGTAGCGATAATCACTTTCCAAATCAATCTGTGTTCCATTCCGAAGCCATCTTAGGAAGAAGAAAACAATAATTCTAAAATTACTTAACACATTTCGACACTCGCCGAGTTTTTCAGGTGTAAGAAAAGTGCTGAGTAGAGAATTCGCACCTGTAACTGGGAACTGGGTTGGCACGAACTTCACAATTCAGTGCTACCTTGTTTTCATCAGAATCAGTCGGGAAAATGATACCATCTGGTTCCTGTACAAACACTGGCCCATAGTCCACACTTTCTGTAAAGACGCAAAGAATGCAACTTAAAATTTCTCAGGGTAGCAAGACGTTTTATGCCCACATAATTACACTAAAATTTCATATTTTTATTTTAAGTAAGTGGGTGAATTGCAAAAAGAATACCTGCAAATACATTGTTTTTAGTAAACTGTAGGCATCTATAAACAAGTTATTCACTAAAAAAAGCTCAATATATATGTAGTGAAAAATACATGCATATTTTCTTTTTTTCACATGCATATTTTCAATGTGTCCTTTTCATTTTCTAGAGCAAACCTAAGAAAAGCATTAAACATTTTAAGAAACCTAAAAGTTTATATATCTGTGAGAATGTCAAAAATAATATATGATAAAAATGACAAATTAATATTGTGGTAATAAAGTCTACGCATATGGAAAACTTAATCCTGATGGTGTTTTTTTGGTATGCTTTTTCTTCACTCATCACTCAAATATAACTTAATGCTAATGATTTCATAATATAGGAATAATGCTGTAATGTGAACAAATGTATTTTAATGGGATAAAGACAACCTCTTTTCAAAAGAATTTAACAGCACAGGTCAAAAATTTAAACACTTTATATGGTAAATATATAAGGAGAGCAGGAGCGAAAAGACAAGGAAAGAGACCAAGTAGGAAAAGCACTTACATTCACTGTCTACTACATTTCATATTTGAGATTCTATTTCATTTAGTCAGTTCTTACTCAGAGAAATCCTATGAAAAAGACAATTTGAAACTAATGAAAAATTCATGTAAAATGTAGGAATAAAAACATCTCAAATGTCAGCCTAGACAGGAATTTAATAATAAGTCTGCTGGAAATAATGAATAAATGTGCTAGTTTGGAAATAAGCCATGTTAGCCTCCAGTTCTGTGAGAATATAGAGCATTATGTGAACATCTGGGACTTAAAGTACCACAAGTGGTGAATTTGGGAAAAAAATAAATGTCCTCTCTGTATTATTATGATTATGTGACTGTTTTGCATCAAAGTTCTCAGCACAATGAATGTTCTGGGACTGATCTCTATTATGGGCCACTGTCTTGTACATTATAACATATTTGTTAGCATTTCTTGCCTGGACTAACTGGATTCCAGAATTGTCTTTCTCCAATCCATAACAATGGGAAATACCTACAAAAATTTTTAAATGGGAGATCACTCTTTTGGGAAATCACTTCCTTAGATCACTGAAGAGGAAAGAATTCAGGAAATACATATGTTTAGTGTATACTGTAAGTGTTTAGAGACTTACATCCTCATTGCCTAACTGCAATAAGATCATAGGCATGTGACATCGCACCTGATTTGAGTAGCTGATTCTAGCTAGGCTTTTCTGATTTTAAGCTTTACAATTTAAAAGCTGTCCAGGACAAGATAAGTAAAAGTTTGTCAGATACAGAAACAGTAGATGATTGACTTAATTATAGGCTGAATACCAATAGTATTCTGAATAACATGTACTCTATTATGAGTGGCCATACTTTGCAAGGTGTCATCTTCTTGCTGATCACTGTCAGTTCCCAAATGTCTTGCCCTATTCATTGACTCCATCATTCTATTTGTTAGACAAGAATTCAACCCAAGTAAAAATAAAATAAATAAATGAAAGGTAAGATAATAATAAAGTATGTCGTCAAGTTAAGCAGTATTTAATTTTTTCCTCTGCTGTCATCTCCCTTAGGAGTAAAATTTATTGCAAGGTATTTAAAGAACATGTCATGCTAATATTTTCTGTCCTCAGCAGAGAATAATGATGGTTTAATTTCAGTAGAGGTTAGATTTTAAAACCCCATACTAACAAGGTATTATCAATACACATACAGTCAGATGGATTTTTCATTTATACTCATAAATTTTTCCAAATATGATATACTGTTTAAGGTCACATCATTATCTATTGTATTCTTTTTCTTGATGGAATTGATAACTTTGGGAGACAGACTTTGAAATCTATATAATCGAAAAGTATGACAAAGATCTTGGTACAAAAAAAAATTAGTGTCTTTTCTTCAGCCAAGTAGAACATTTGTGACATTTGTGTGACAGGAAGATAACATCATATGCAATGCTCATTTCTCATAAGAGGAATGTTTTGGTGTTTTTACTTTATCAGGCCTTCTATTAATAAACTGCTAGATATTTATTTGTAATTGGCTGACCCTAAAATGCTACTTATTGCCTATGAAATGTCAGATTCATATCCCAACAGTGGGCCTTTATTCAGAAGAGCTTTGTTTAGAAGTGATCTATTTCTCTGTGATAGAGTATGATAAAATTAGTATACTTACTCTCATGTCTTCCCTAAATTTTCTCATGTTGTTTTTTAATCATAGGTCAAAGTTTCTTACTCATAGTTTATATTGATATATTATTCAATATTTATTACACCAATTCTCCATAGGTTTCCATATTTTCCCCAGTGAAAAAGTCCTGTTTGTTCTATTCCATGTAATGTGGTTAAGAACAGTTATTTTTTTTTATTTTTATGGGCACTTTGGTTCTTATTTTGTATTCCACGTGTTCACTTCTCAGGATAGACTTATCATATAACAGTGTGACTATGACTTTGCTGTCTGACTGTTGAAGATTTCACACCTACCCAGTTCCCTGTTCCCTTTTACCTGGCCTCTGCGAACGCACATAATTCAGGGACTTTGGGAAATTTATAGCACACAAATGTCAGGGTATAAAGAAAGCATCCTGCCCCTAATTTTATTTTGGGAACAATAAAAATTAAAGATACTCAATCCTTTGTTCTCTCTAGTCATTTGTTGACTCCAAAAGTTCTCCTCTCAGAAACTCTAATAACATGAATAACAATTTTGTCAACCCTTTTGGCATACCTGTGGCATTATTAGCCTTCATATTTAAGACAGTTTTGGGTCTTTACTGTACTAGTTTCACCCATCACAGGGAAAGCACATAACAAATTCAAGCCACTCTTTCTGGGTAGAAGACAATAGATCCTCAGTCAAGAAAAATGTGATAGAAATACAAGAAAGCTTGTTCTTGATTTACTCTGAATAGGTTTCTCTTTGCTTTACATCAAAAATAGAATACACTATGGCAGCAACAGCAAACCTTTTAGAGCTTTGAATGATACAAACAGGCTGCTGTAGCAATATGCCATGGTTTGCCACCACTGGACTAGGAGATCCTCAGCTTTGTGCAAGGTGGTTGTGACTATGGAGCAATGCCAAAGGCTATGTGTGCCAGGAGGAAATGACAGAGCAGCATAACTGAAGATGCTTAAAATATGTTTGAAAATCACAAAATTATAAAACATGCATTGCTCTTCAAACATAAATCCCCTTACAGATAATTATGTCTGTGCTCATGTTTAGGAAGAGTATGTCTAATGCCAGGCTAACCATTTCTGTCTGCTGCCAAGCTTTAATTTGCGATCCTGCCTAGCTTATTCATGAAATGTTACCTAAACATAACTAGTAATATAATTTAGAAGACATATTAGCCTATCATGTTCAGTACAATGATAAGAAATAGTCTAACAAAACTTCAAAGGGAACAATACAGACATTGGCTGCTTTGACTGAAGGAGCCTGCCTGGAGAGATTCCAATGCTGTACACAGGAGACAGGCTATTATTTTCTTTTTAAAAATCTTGCTTATTTCAAACAAATACATTTTCCTTTTAAAAGGCTGGTAGCATCTTACTGACAGTTATTACTTTTCTCCTGCCATCAGAGTTATTTTATTATCATGATTATTTTAAATCTGGATGCACAGAAGATCTGCAAACAATGACTGGTAGGAGACTTTCATGCTTAATGGCAGCTTACTGCCAACAAAGATTATATTTTTAGATTCCATAACAAAAAGCATGAATCTGTTATTTCATTTCAATCACTCACACTGGCTACTAGCATAATATGTATGTTTCCCAAAATAGAACGCCCTGTGCTCCTTCTCGCTGTTATGAATTTGGGTATATTTTTCATTAAAATGAAATCTGTTTCCACATCCAGGGTACATTCATCTATAGTATTACCTCCTCGTATCAAACAAAATAGACACAACCTTCTTCTATGGTACTGCACAGTCCTGTATGTACTTCTATCATATACTGTGAACTTATCGTGTATGTGTTACAGTTTTCAAAAAGCTGAACATAACACGAATGAGTCCACAGTTACTCTAGAAGGTATACAGTGGTGAGGATGAAAGCAGGCAAAACAGCGTCCTGACTATGAAGTCAGTCAAGTGCTTCTGGCCTTACTGACTAAATCTCAATATCACCAACAGTTATATGAGACAGGTATCTGAAATGTTATTAAAACTTGTTCTTAGAGTAAGAAAGAAGAGGGGGAAGTGCCCATGAATCCATTAAACATAAGAGGTGGAAAGTAAGGTTAAGTACTTTCATCTCACAGGTGCCTGCAAAATAACAGAAATTACAATACAGATAAGTTCTAATGCTGCAAAAGAAATAAAGATCAATAATAGAAACAAAATCTTATTCCAAATAAAATATATTTGAAAACCCTGCCTAATTCAAGACCTGAAAACAAACGTTTTGGATATTCAAAACATAAATTAAGGAATAAACTATAATTATTAAAATTATAAAACACTGAAAGGTTAAAAATGAAAGAGTTGAGATGAAAACAGAAGTGGTAAAAAATCTTGAAATAAAATATACCCTAGTAAATTTTCAGCCAATTGTTATTCAATTTATAAAGACACTCAAAAGATAGATAATAAATTATATGGAGGTAGATATTTTACGCACAAAACATTATATAACGTACATGTATAGATTAAGTACTGGTAGAGGAAGATTTGAAGAAAAGCGGTATGTTTTGCATAAAGATAGAAACTTGGCTGAAATTGTTTCCCAAGCACTAGCAAACAAAGAGAAGCATACTTTAAGAAATAATGTAATATATGTGCAAAATGTCAAGAATTAGAAAAATAGCTTGCAGTCCATTTAGAAAGGAAAGGCAAATTTGATTATAGACTTCTTACTTT